TCGTGATCGATAAGGTGGGTGACTTCGGGAAGTTCTATGATCCATCGACATGATTTGCCCTTGGTTTTCCCGTCCTCCCCTTCTTCGTCTGGAAGCAGGGTGACCATGGGCAGGCCAGCGTTACAGAGCCCAAGACGCGAGCGAGTATGATGGTATCCAAGGATAAAAGAAAGAGCATCGCGCGGAGTGACCTTCAACTCATTTGACGCCCTCGCTGGCTGACCAGAGAGCAACGACAATTTCTCCCAATGTTGAGACTGGTCTGATACAGCTCGATTAGTGAGGAAATTATGCCCAAAATGGCATAACTCAATATCGATTCCCGTCTGTTCCAGAAACCCTGCAACTGCTAAGATGAAGTCCATACTTTGCAGCGTCGCGCCGCAAACCATCAAGATATCCCGAGCAAAGACTGCCTCCTGAACGACCCAAGCCCTGCGGAACCAGAGTCTTTGAAAGAGCGAAAATAGGGCAAACCAGTGCACCACTGTCATCCCTGGGACTGAGGGCATGGTGACTTCCTCTTGTTCTTGATATGATGAGTCTTGTGCGTGGAGGCGAGTTGCGTCGAAGTCAAGAATTCTACCCATTGCCTCTATCGCTAGTTGCGCAAGCCTGTCATATTGGCCAACCCAAGCAAGTACTATAGTCGCTGACTTGTATAGGCGCCCCATAAGCTTGACTTGGGCAGCTCGCTCGTCGAGGTCTGCTTGGTTGATACACAGTGCATCAGCCCAGATAGGCAGGTTGATGGAGCGGTAAGTCGAGCTCTCCGGTTCTCCTGGGCTAGGAGCAATTGCAGTTCGAAGTGTCAATATTGATTGGAAGAACGATAAGAGGTTTTCCTCAATTGGTACTCGACTCCCATCAACTTCTATTTCAAGATGCGTGCGCTTTTGCCAAAGCACCTCTTCATGGGGGACATAACGATGCATATCGTAGTACAGAAGCTTGGCGCGATCAACCATTACCAGTTTGTCGCCATCAGGTCCCAGTTCGGGGCTGTAATAGGTGAAAGGAAGTTTATCGGCGTGTTCTTCGAATTCCAAGCCATCGATATCGGGCATGGGTTCTTCATGAACTGTAGTGGGGTTGCCCCACGTATATGAGACGGCGGCGAATTCGATACTCTCATCGTTTAGGTCGACTACCCGCATGGAGCAACGAACAATGCCGTCTCTGGACTCGTTGATATCCAAGAGACGGATTGATGTTGGCGTTGTGAGGACGTGTGACTTGTACATGTCGACGATATCTGTGTGTAACACTGAATTGGTTGCCAATACTTGTAAAGCAGCATGAACAACAACATTACCGTGCGGGCCTTCACATTGTTTTTGAGATTCCAAGGCTGATTCACGTTGAAAGAGGCATAATTGAGGTTTGCAGATCACCACGGAATAAGGTCCGCCCTATTGCATAGCCGCCGGTGGCTGATACAGTTCCAGAGAGTGTGACCACTGAAAGAGCGCTGCCAAGTCCCAAGCGCTTCACCAGTAACATCGGCAATTGGACGTTCTCACTGAAATGACCAGGGGTTCTCAGCTTTGTACCAGGGTTGGCTTCTCAACACTCAGCCTAGCTTTCTGCCTCCTTTCTTGCTAAGGCTATAGTGAAGGCCTCCCAAAGTTTTATGTCAAACCAACTTTTTCGTCCCCTATCTAAACAGTTGCAGAATGAGGTTTCGTGTCCTTGTTCTGGTGCGAGGATGTTTTAGCCTTGGTGATCGCCTGCGCTAGCACCCACTGTAAATATACTTTACTGTCACAGCCTACAGATTTTGTCAGGGAGCATATCAGCCTAAAGCATCCAAACCACAGAGGTCAGTAACTGATAATGGGATTTTACGTCGCGCGCCTTGTCTCATTGGAAACTTACGATTTTCTGTAATTGCTGGCCGTTTCTATCCTCTACATGGTATCGAAATCTTAAACTCCTTACTGACTCGAAAGCCGCTACCCTGGTTGCTGTGCCTTCCCTGGTAGAAGAAGTGTTAACGCTGTACCAGAGCGAGCTCACATACGTTTTTTGGGGCTATTCAGGTTGACTTCAGCTACTTATCTTCCTTAACCAGTAATCACAGGGCCACTTTTGTAAGTCTATTGATGCTCAGCTCTTTGGGCTCGCTACTCTCTAGCCTACCTCGGCAACTGCTCTGTGAGAGTCTCCTGCTAAGCTTCGGTAATAATAGCTAACATCGAAAAGGAATGACAACATTCAGGGACGTTATGCGGGGGCCTAAACCTTGACGACCATCGTGTGCTCTCCTACGAAGTACTTGACCTCCAAAAAGGACAGTCTCTTTCTTATCAATATCGGCAAAAACATACAACAGCGGGGATTCGCTGGTCGTCACCGACCCAACTACTAATCCGCCCCTTATCAGCTTATCTATGGGAGAGCGGACGGGATCCCGAGTTCTCTGATAGGTATGGTCGTATGTGTTTGAGTTTGGTCAGATTGCAACCTATATGTATGGGATCTAAGCTTGTAAGCCGCATTGTTACCATCGACTCGGTTCGGACAAGTACAGGCATTACCGTATGCTGGCAGCTGTCATAACGTCTACGTGATTTTCGCCTGGTTCATTTCTTGCGTATGGACGGTATGTAACGCCAGGCAGTTGAAGTAGAGAGATACTGCCTGACGAGTTATGGATATCGTCATGACCAGGCTCCAAGATTATTCGTTTAGTGGTACAGAACCGCCAGATATTCAGATGCAGGCTTCCGTATAACGACCAATTGCATTTCCGACTCTGCCAAATCCATCAATCTAGACCAATTGTGGCTGTCGTTGCCTGTATTGCTCTGCATCGAAGGCTCTACATTGCGTGGAGGCTGTCGTCTGTATGATGATGATATCGATGGTGCAATGAGTCCAGTCCAAGATTCGTAAGTGATGTTGAACACTTTCTTCCAAATCATCAGGCCATTGGCTTTGTAATTCGAGGATTGCGTGAGCACTTATGAATTCCGCTGTCGTGGATGATTCTGTCATTGACGCTAACAGTTCTTTCGCGATGTCTTATCCCTCCAATCACATCAAATTCATCTCTGGTGTTTAGCGTCGTCGTTGAGCATTAATCAGCCCGGACGGAGCACTACCTTAATTCGGATCATACGTGCCGTGCCACACTAAAAAGGTGCATAAGAAAATCCTTAACCGTGAATTTTAGTCGACTTTATCAGGCTCTTAATTGGCTGGCGGATCAATAATTTCGCTGATGACTGTGCTTGCGACACCCAGTGACTCAATTACGCGGTCTGTTTAGACGCGCATATTCTCCCAGGCGTAACAGTCGGGTCAGATTAAGCCGATGGCATGTAATACGCAGAATTCGTGAGTCACTTGCCTTGGTCAATTGACTCGATTTATTGAGAAAAGTGTAGATGCCTAGTCAGGCAGGAATTGTATAACAATAAGGCCAAATATCGCCAAGATGTCGGACCAATTTTCACCAGTATCGTCAATATGGAGCCTCCTTACACGCAAAGATCCGGCGTCCCTCTTCAGACACGCCCGGTGCTTAGCCCGTTCAATCCATCAGCCCTACAGAGCCTGAATTCTATTTTGCCACCTAAGAAAAATGGCTTGGCCATTAATATCCATGATCATTATGCATCTAAGCGCTATCGTCCTGGCTCCATAGTTATGGGCACTGTCAACATCAAACCTAAGAAGCAGATCCCTTTCACAAAGATCTCAATAAAATTTGTTTGCGACTCGAGCGTCGAGCGACCCAATGCGAATCTATCATTTGAGACATGGCATCGATTACTTGATCTAGAAATGCCAATGGAGGAAGCGGTATTGCCAGCGAACAAGGTCCTGCAAGCAAATGAGACTTACACGGTTCCATTTTACTTTGTCCTACCCAATGGCCTTGGTACAGAGGCCTGTTCGCATAACATCATATGGCAAGAGACACGACAGCTACACTCGCACCTCCCACCCAGTATCACAGGCTGGGAGGGTGATGCCATGATCCCAAGAGGCGTGCGTGTTGACTATGGTGTTATTGCTCAGGTTTGGGACTCGGCAAACCCAGAGTATGCCAAGATGGAAGCCAAAGAGACCGTTCAGTTCTTGCCAGGCCATGTTGAGCACCCGCCTTTGAAGATTCCGACAGCCAATCGAACTTTCAAGTTCGCGTCAACAAAGCAACTCAAATCCAGTGTCTTTTGTCGCTCTTCGGGTGAGGTCACGTTATATACTGATCAACCCACCTCGATCATTCTTGATTCCAGCGGAAAGGGTATCCATCCTACAACGGTTACAACATCTCTGAGATTGAAACTGAGCGACCCGAAGACTAGCTTACCACAAACATGCAGTGTTTCTGCAAAGATTGAGTCAGAGACATGGTCACAAGATGAGCCCATGCAACAGCTCCCTCATATCGTCGGCGCGAGAGACTGCTATAATGGCTCCGAGACTCTCGTGAAGAAGGCAGAGGTCGGCTTAAGCTGGGAGAAGAATTCACCGAAACAAACAGACTGTGTTGTCACCGAGACTGCTGAGACATTCAGCAGCCACATCGAAATACCCATCACGAGTTTTGCGAGCGATAAGAAAATGTTTTTGCCTACTTTTTATTCTTGCCTGATTTCCAGGACTTATCAACTACATCTAACTATTAATGTTGCGTCGACAACCCTGAAGCTGGTACTGCCTGTACAGCTCACAATGGAGGAGCAGGAAGGGGATGTGCAGCCCGACGCTGAGGATATTGGGCTTCCTGAAAGTAGCGCGAGATGTTCCAGTTCATTGCCGTCATATATCGAGTCTGAAAGGAGGCATTCACAGCCCGAGCAATAATCCGTTATAATGAATAATAAATTTGAATTCCGTCGTTAAAATGTGCCGAACAATGTCCCTTTGCTTCATTCCCTTGTGCATCTCGTACTGGTTGTCGAATGTGAAACCTATGCCAGGTGAAATATCCGCTTCACTTAATTACGGCCTCTTGACCAAGACCATGTTCTGAACCACTCCCTTTATTTTGACCGGGGCGGGTTCTCTGGATGAATCAATTCCTTTCCATTATGCATAGCTCTAGTCCGGAAAACCCATTCCTTGATTCGACGGGCAGGTTCTTCACTGGTCCAAGAGTTGGCAGCTCGCACCTCTTCTTCAATGTTTTTGACGTCCAGGCGGCACAAAGCTCCCATTGTGAGCGGCGTTGGCCCGGGTGGCGGTCGTGGTCCCTTGAGCGCGGCAGCATAGCTTTTGGGCCTTGCAGCTTTTGCTGGAGTTTGCAAAGGAGTATCCATGGCCAGTGATGGGCCCTGTGTTTGCTTTCCAAACAGCTTTTGTTTAAGTAGCTCTGACGCGCATGAGGGGAAGTCGTCCATAGTGGAATGTTATCTTGATGCGTGCGGTATGCGATGGAGTGATGATGAGAGAATAAGCTAGATAAAGATTTGACAGCAGGAGAAGACGTGCGTATTTAAGGACAGGAGCTCAAACTCTCACTGATGGCTTTTAAAGTTGGTAAGTAAAAGCTGAACAGCAGGTACGACAGGAACTTAGATAAGAATATGGTTTGTTTACGCGCCTACCAAAGTGCTTGCTTTTCTGTTCGCTCGCACTTCCCGGCTCAGGTCGCATGTTCACCGGAATTTGGTAGGTGTTCTATATGTGCGCTGAACACCCAGATTCGTCCTTGTCTTCAACATCAAACTACGTGAACATCTTTGATCTTCATGGGAAAAGTCCTTGAAGCCTGGAAGTGCAGTCAATCGGTTTGAGTATGTTCAAATTTAGTCATTTTTGGGCAGAACCATCATGGCAAGGTTATCACTCATATATGGAGCACCATTTTTCAGAAGTCTGTTCCTATCCACTCATAAGCTTTTCCAACAAATAGTCCTCCCATTAGACCTATTACTTCAAACTGATGCATGAGCTACAGATCTCTAACTCTAGGTTTTCGTAACTATTGGGAATTTATGGCAAATAAATCTGTTCAAATTAGACATATATACCGAACGAACATGATCTCCTGGTCCGTCATGATTAACTCGCAGATCAATTAGTTGACCAAACAGAAATTTAGGCCGTTTAATTTTTCTCGTGGTTGATCTTACTAATCGGCTTATGCTGTAGCTGTTCATAGCACAATAACACTTGGAGGTTAATTTTTGGGCGAGCTCAGTTAGTGTGGAATCGAAAGTGACCCTACCTCAGCTCTAGCAAACTCGTGAATGGCTTGACGATGTTTAACTACCCGATACCTTCTTAGAAAAACTCAGAGTTGCCATTCTTGCTATTACTCTAAGATAGATTTTTCTGTACTTGTTGGAATAAATATATTGAACAGTATGTCTTTACTATCTGCATCAAACAGTTTCCTACTGAGCTTTGCGAAAGCGTTACTGGACTGACTATTTAGAGCCCGAAGGTGTTGACCCGAAATTTAGAGTTGTCACAGAGCTTATTATCATATAGGTATCGATCTCACTCTTTAGCATAATGACGCCACTTAAGCAGTTATTATTACTTATAATTCGATTTGAAACGTACCGCCTTGTCAACAAAGACAATGCTTTTTTTTTTTTTTTTTTTTTTTTTTTTTTTTTTTTTGGAATGATGCGATAGACATAGGGCCACTCTTGGAACGTCCTTACACTCCCAATCTGCCCAATTGCCGCGGTTTGTAAATTGTCCCTTCCCGCACAGGAAAATGGCGTGACACTACTGCAGATATATCATCAATCAATGCAGAGAACTTGAAGAGGCAGAGCATAGAATGCTCAATTCGAACAGATCATGGCCCGGAAGCCGTTGAGTAATCCCTACTTGGGACACTCGGAACGAACGCGAATAACATACGGTTCGTAGTATTCTGGATAATATAGTTTCAGCACGACCTGCATCTTTACATTCTACCATAGCCTGATATGATGATTCCAGCAAATGAGGGCAAGATTGCTAAGATGATCATATACAGAGTTTCGGCGATTGCGAAGTCTGCATGATACGGATTTACCCCGGCTTCTGGATAATGCGGCTCACAGCTGGGGTTGGGGTTGGGGTTGACACATCCCAACCACGATCATACGAAGCAACCCATGGGTATTATCGTAGAGCAAAAGAGCAGCCGGTCCGACAAGTTCCTCCACTTGACTACGGAGCAAAAATAACATACAACACCGGGGATTCGCTGGTCGTCACCGACCCAACTACTAATCCAGCGCTTCGCAGCTTGACTATGGGAGAGCGGACGGGATCCCGTATTTTCTACGAGCTTTGGTCGTATGTGCCTGATGAAGCTGTCGTGAGAATCTATGGCAGTAGGATTGTGCCGAGCTGAAAGTTCATCTTGGCGGTTAATCACGGCGCAGGAACAGTCTTGGCTGGATGAAAGTTCGGCATTGGCATTTTGCCTGAATTGGGTCCAATGCCTGAGAGAGACTACGATTTGATACCCTGATTCGACCATTTTGACGTTCCCCGCAAGCTCACAATGCATTAATATGTGCCTTGGATTTAAAGTGTTGGAGTTACATCGCCACTAAAACGCGGCTTGGCGGATCCTCTTCTCATTATGGATGGACTCTTAAATTTAGCCGAGGCCAACTTGTATGTCAGACCGCTATCCATTGCCTACGTACGGATGCCTTGGCCAATGTCGCATTTGTCCTGTCAAAGACACCATGATCGTTCGGTTTTAACCGTGTGTGCACTGAGCACGGATCATTCCCGAATAAATGCACCAATTACCAAGGCAAAGGATCGCTAAACAAGTGTGCATCCTCGTGTTATCCCTGAGTCATGAGCAAGTTCTAGACTGGGTTCTTTGTTTTACATCTTAATAGACCTCAGCTATACACCATGCACCCTCACGCTGATTTTTGAAACGCAACCTTGGTCTTTAGGCTGAATGACCGATCCTCGTCCTCCCCTTCCTAATCAAAGACGTTAGTTCTCGGCCCAGCTCCTAGCTCACGGACGTGTCTGGGGTCTTCGGCAGTCAATGCAACCTCCGTCCCGTTCGAGGTGGCTCTATAGCAAGCCTGGCATCGATGCCATGTGGCTCCATGTTACGAATGCCGACTTTTGCTTTCCCCATTCGAGATCATGTCTTGTCCTAAATCGGACGATCCGGGCATTGTTCCTCCGAAATTGCACAAAGGCCGGATAAACCAAACCCCTAAGGTTAGCATGTTTCATAGTGCGGAGATGACTACTGACCTGGTTCAGTTTCCGGGATGTCACCGACCCACTAATCACATTGGGATGACTGCTGTCAACTCGTCAAACAAGCATTTCCATCGATCCTTACTTTCCCAGTGGTTATCTCACCGGCAAAATTGGGTATACACTTCATACAGGCTTAGATCGATCTCGGACACTTTCACATCCATGTTAGGCAATCCCTTATCCCCACAAGTCTCGCGAACTTGGGCCAGACTCGGATGATGTAAAGCAATTAAGGATCGCTGAGGGGCTACCACTTGGCAATATAAAGACGGCAAGAGTCCTCATCAATCAGTCTCTTCATCCCATCCACCAACAGCTTCAGTCTCCAACAGTCTTCAAGCCAACAACATCAAAATGGTTTCCTTCACCTCCCTCCTCGCCGCCGTCTCGGCTGTCACTGGCGTCATGGCCCTTCCCTCCGCTCAGCCCATTGACGGCATGAGCGTTGTCGAGCGTGATCCTCCTACAAACGTCCTCGACAAGCGCACCCAGCCCACTACTGGCACAAGCGGTGGCTACTACTTCTCTTTCTGGACTGACACACCCAACTCTGTCACCTACACCAACGGCAACGGTGGCCAGTTCAGCATGCAGTGGAGTGGAAATGGTAACCACGTCGGTGGAAAGGGCTGGATGCCCGGTGCTGCTCGGTAAGTTTCATCTGCGCTGCGTCGCCGAGCCTTATGCTAACTTCCTATTCAGCACCATCAAGTACTCTGGTACTTACAACATCAACGGCAACAGCTACCTCGCTGTTTACGGATGGACCCAGAACCCTCTCATCGAGTACTACATCGTTGAGAACTTCGGCACCTACAACCCCTCGTCCGGCGGCCAGAAGAAGGGTGAGGTCACCGTTGACGGATCTGTCTATGACATCTACGTCAGCACCCGTGTCAACGCCCCCTCGATTGAGGGTAACAAGACCTTTCAGCAGTACTGGTCTGTTCGACGCAACAAGCGTTCCAGCGGATCCGTCAACACCGGTGCTCACTTCCAGGCCTGGAAGAACGTCGGCCTCAACCTTGGTAACCACAACTATCAGATCCTTGCTGTTGAGGGCTACTACAGCTCTGGCTCTGCCAGCATGACTGTCTCCCAGTAAAGAGGCATTACGAAAGGAAGTTCTGGGGGTCATGACGGTATGGCAGTCTCTTGAAGACAGTCATTCCCTGTATCTTTAGAAGCTTCAGATGGGATTACGTGTTTACGAGTCCGGACTTGTGACTGGACTTCACTCAGGACCGGTCTTTACTTCATTGTACATAGCTTAGCACATAACTGAACATACAACGATAGCCGGCTTGCACGGCTTTTTTGCATACATACAATCTTTTTGGCCAGTATAGAGTGACATACGATCTTCTCAGCCTGATTAAACACAAATTAGTTCCCGTAGGAGCAATAAGAAAATTATATCCCCAAGTAGCTTGAGCGCCTCAAAGTCTTCGTATAATGAAAAGCCAACTCAAAAGAAGGGTATATTATGATAGATGATGCAAAATTTCTTTCCTTGATGGCCAAGATTCCTTCTCGTCCCTTATCTTTACGTTACGGAGAACCTCTGTTGCATATCTTCACTCAAGTGAACGTTGGAAGGCCGACTCAAACTTTCTGGGTCTGATGATATCATCGGCCTTCCTGAGTTATGGCTTGAATATCCTTTGCTATCTTGACCGCTGCTGTGGCCATAGTACTGAATCTTTTCTCGCCAGTTAAAGAAAGGCCGGAGTGATGGAAGGCATGCTATGATCAGTCCAATACAAGCATCGATGAAACTCCATAATTCTGTATAAGTGAAGGGTTGCTCTATCAGTCCTCTTCTCTGATCGGGAGTAGGTTTCGCAATTATGATACTTACCGACAAGACTGATGGTGATTACCAGATCACCACCATATTGCTGAATCTGAGCAAAGCGGACTACACAGAAGATAATATTGATGACACCGAGGAGAAACGTTGCGTAAAGACTATATCTCAGTCTCCTTCGCAGTGTCAGCTCCGGAATGACGAGCCAGGGCAGAATGAAAACTATACACCATTACTGATCAGCACAAATCATTGAGACTCTGGGATCATGGCGTACTGAGAATATCTGCACTGATGTTTAACACCCAGGAGATTTCGAAGTTGATTTTGATGGTTTCAACGGTGCATCTTTGGTCCGATAAGGTCCTTCGAGACATGTTAGTATAGCCTTCGAAGCATACGCTGCTATCGAATAAACCCACCAATTTCTCCATATTGGTAGACATGAAAGACTGAGTAGTAGGATTGTAATAACGAAACCTATCGCAACGTAGACGATAACAACCCAGAGGAATCGACATCTCTTTACCATAAAGCTAGGGAAGATCTGTAAGTACACAGCCAGTAGAGCTGCTTTTGATAAGTAAAAAGTGAAGTAGAAGGGATACGTGGAAAAATAGTAGAGCTGGTCAAATATCTTAGCTGGTGATATTCTTGAATGATTTAGAGTGTATGTACCTTGTAGAAGTTCTCGGCCTCTGCCGCAGTTCCTTCAAATCCGGCGAGATCGAACGTTGTATCGGGTTTGAAGATGCCTATACGAAGGAAATAGATGTCGAAGCTTGCTGTCGCGACGGCCGAAGCCCATGCGGCGCACATGAATACATCGCTTGCCAGTAGATTGCGTCGTTGCAGAATGAGACGGAGATACAACCGTGCTAGAATGACTGCGGTCGCGACAGAGATAAGGGCCCATTCAGTAGCCTGCGAACGATTCAGCAATTTAGCGTGTCAAGTATGAGACGCGTGTCGTACAATGACCGTTGGGCCGCTTGGGTCTATTGGCATCTTGAAGATTGCTGAGTCTCGTATAACCTCAAATGATGAGATGCAGACCTCGTCTTGATATTGAAGTCACAGTCACTAGCATTACCCATGGGGGACAGGTGATGCAACATGAACGTTGAAGGTACCCCAGGAGGATAAGGGAGATTTGCACATGTAATACTCACACATACCTAAGCAACAGCGATAGTTTGCGTTTGCATTCCTCCCGAACACAGGGCAGAAGAAACCGGGGTGATCTGCTACGATCCATCTGAGACTCCTCAAGCCACATTCTGGTCTAGAACACCATCTACCACTGTTCCCGTCAGAACACCCGGTAATTATCACGTCAATCGCATGCATCCACATTCAAGGCTGATCAAGTCCCCGGATCCATCTAGGCAACGCGTTTCTTAAATGCTCATCTAACAAATCAATCAATATCCACATGGATGATCTATCTATGGCTTTCTAGACCCCGAGCTTATCTGCACTGAGAACCGTCCAGACCTCTACGTTTGACGCCACATACCCACATCCCTGAAAAGCTTCAGCCCTCTGATATCAGTGCAGCCACCAATCATCAGCGAACCGAAGTCACGTCGACTGGCACGACGACGACGACGACGACGACGACTGATGGAACTAACCTATCCTCTGATCATCGGGGTACCTATCTTGGCATGTTTCTGAGAGAGAAGCGCTATATCTCTTGCGGCCCTTTCGACGCTGGGTTAGGATATCATGTATCCAGATAGATCACGACATCTACTTTTTACGCTGCGAGATATGAGGTCAAAGGTCCGATAAAACCAGCAGCCCGCTATACCAATTTGAAACAAGACTTATCAAAACGTAATATCACTGAATTTATATACTGACTCTATAGATAGGAAACAATAACCAGCGCTCATGATCTATACATCATTTTTGGCTATCCTTGGGCACCTGCTTGTCCATCAGATCCTTCAATTCAACAAAAGCCTTGAGGATAGTAGGCGTCTCAGCAACGATATCCTTCTTGGTGTCATCGCCCAGCTTTCCAGCACCAGCAAGCCAGAGATCATCACCAACACCACCATGGAATCCAAGCGCAGGTCGAGTATCAACAACATTGAGCTTCATGCCTTTTAGGGTCTTATCAAGTTGTTCACTTGCAGAATTACCTCCAAAGATACCATAGCTGATAATCAGAACGCCCTTGCCAATCCACTCGTTGTACAGGTAATCAACGGCGTTCTTGGTGCCGCCGGCAAGGCCAAAGTTGTACTCTGGAATGACAAAGATGTAGCCGTCGTACTTCTTGATCTCATTACTCCAGGCAATAGAGTGAGCATGCTTGAAGGAACCCTTGTCGGGTACCATGGCGGGCATGATTTCTTCATCGAAGACGGGGAGGTTGAAGTCTGCGACGTCTACTAGGGAGATCTTGGTGTTCTTGCTGGCATCTGCATCGCCAGTGAGGATATCGTTGATGACACTGGTGATCTGAGGACCAACTCGACTCTTGCGAGTGCTTGTTGTGATAAGAGCGATGTTCTTGATGGCAGCCATGTTGCTTTTGCGGTTTTTAAAAGTGCGAAATGATGAAATAAAGGGAGTTCTGTCAAGGGAGGAGAGGAGTCTATGTGTTGAGTAGAAGGGTGTTTATCAAACTTCATCTAGTATCTAACGTATTTATACTCAAATAAATTCACGGGCACCCCACCTCACTTTGCGGTATTAATAATTTCATACGCCCGCAAGGCAAATGGGCTGTCTTGCCTTCTTACAAATCCCGACTTGTACCCGCGCGTTTCGGTGAATGATGGGTAGCCTATACAGTGGAGGCCTGATGCTTGGCTCTGCGGTACTGCATGATACGGCTGTCTCACGCGCGGCTCGGGTATTCGATTTCGATGTTATGGTAAGCAAGTTGGGGCCAGTAAGCAGCCACTCCTCGATCGAGCGGCATGCTGAGAGCTGTCAGCAATTATCGGCAAAAGCGGTGCCGCACACGCCGCTTTCATGATGTGTTTAAATTATAATTATATCTGCATATTATTAATTCTCGATGAAATACTACCTGAAAGGTTTGGGATCATTTATTACAACACGGAACATAATGTTTCGCCGATATCTAACGTCACCTAATTGTCGTAGATCAATCACCACTGCGGAGTATCGGAGCTTGACCCAAGCAAGAGTCTATTTGATCAATCTATCACATACTATCCTTCATATTCTTCTTCAGCCGCTCGAATATAGTGCTCCAGCCATCTATCGACGAAACTAGGGTAGTAATCAAATTCCATCTCTTCATCCTCATATGAACCAACCAATCTCTCGTAAGCTGCTTCTCCATCTTCACTGCTTGGTGGTGAAGGTCTATTCATCTCATTGTCAAACTGAACACCCCCATCAGATCCCTCATCCACACTGGATTCCCCGCCTCCCTCCTCAAAAATATCAGGGGACCGACTCTCCTCTTCGTCGTCATCATCGTCATAATGGTTCGAAATATGATCTATGTAAGGCCTATGGCTAGGATTAGACTCTGGGCTGCGAGCGAAGTACCATTCGCGATATACAGCTTGGGCGTAGTCTGGGATATGGGCATCTATTCTTGGCTCCACATCATACTCATCAGTTTGTGGCGGAGGCTCTTCACAATCTGAACATGCGATATGCTCGCAGCGTCTCACAGGTTGTTTCCAGAAGTCGTCATCGCCGCCTGTTTCTGGATATCGCTCATCTGTCCAATACGGACAGAGGCCTTCATACCCCTCCCATAATCTCTCGAAGTCTTTCCTTCTGTAGTTTCTGTTATACCTGGGGACTCTGGGATATGCATCTCTATGTGTGCTAATAACATAGCCGCATATTGTGAGAGCAGCATCCCAAAGATCACCTCTGTATGACCCCTTGGACGAATACTGGTTATCGCCATCATTAGGTAAATATGCACGCATTGAAACGCTATGCTGATGATGGTCAACCGCAAGAACATCTGCTCCTTGTTGGATCAGGGAGATGAGGGCTTCTAACTCGTCCCGGTCTCTGCTTCGATGAGCTTTGTAAACAAGACTGTGCAGGCACGTGAACCCCAACGTCTGATGATCGTCTGGAGACCATGACTTTGCCACGCGAGCGTTAAGGTTGGCCCCAGCCGCCGCCAGCATATCGACTGCTTTCTTCTTGCTCGTGTTTCTACTCTCTGCCATACAAACCTGGTGAAGTCTTGTCCTTCCATTCAGGTCGAAGCTCTCTAGATCATGCATCGTAAAGTGTCCCCCGTGCTTGAGGAAGAGCTCTGCTGATGGCTAGAC